CCCAACCTTCCCCCTTACCTCCCCCCACCCCCTTTTAAATAAGAGGGTGAAGGGGAACCAGAGCGCACAAGGGAACTGACTCAGGAGGCAGAGAAGATGGGCATCCTCAGCGTAGACTTGCTGATCACACTGCAAATTCTGCCAGTTTTTTTCTCCAACTGCCTCTTCCTGGCGCTCTATGACTCGGTCATTCTGCTCAAGCACGTGGTGCTGCTGTTGAGCCGCTCCAAGTCCACTCGTGGAGAGTGGCGGCGCATGCTGACCTCAGAGGGACTGCGCTGCGTCTGGAAGAGCTTCCTCCTCGATGCCTACAAACAGGTGAGCGGCGCCGACAGGGGCCTCTCCTTAGGTCCGCAGGGGCAGGGGCTCGCTGCTGGGGACTGGCGGCCCCTGGGGCATTGGGGTGAGAGCTGCCTGGTGGCTATGACCCTGTACATTTACTTTCCACACCTGTTGCACAGGTGAGAATTGGAGGTGACAGATAATAAGCCGTAATGACTCTGCGTGACCTAATAGAGAAATCTCTCGAATAAGGGTGATTAATATCTTGCTGCGGTTTTGGAGCAGAGGGCGTTTGTGCCGGTGGAGTAACTTTGGGAAAAAGTCAGTAGATGTTGGGGGAGGGGAGACAGCTGGGCGTATTCTGCTCTTGTCTTAAGCCGGAATTTTGGTGTTTTGCTTGATGGGAGGCTGTGTAAGGTGTGCTGGGAAAGACAGGTCAAGGGGGTAGGCACTGAAATGAGAGAAAAGAGAAAATGCTACTCAAAATTCTCAGAGAGTTGACGAGACTTAACAAAATGGTCATAGCAAATGTGACTGGGCATCCTAGCCACTGGGTTTTGGGTAGGGGTAGGAGTTAATAAAAGCGAGCAGCTGTGTGCCACCTCTGTCACATTGGTTCAGATTTGAACCCTTTGAAAGCAGTTTTCAGGCACTGAGGCCTGAGTTACTAGGTATCAATTTAAAAAAAAAGGTTCTGAGAATTGGCTATCAGAAATCCAGACTTTGTAAGGGAAACCGCATTTACTTTGTTTCTCAAAAATAAAATAAGTTAAAGAAATAAAATAAAAAAATAAAATAAGTTGTCTTAGAGAGAGATGATGGGTCTGTGGTTCATTAAATCTCAAACATGTGCCCTGAGCATTAGAGCAGCGGCCTCCCTTACCTGCAGATGCTGTGTGCCAAGGGCTGCTCGCTCAAAACCGGAGTTGATGATCTCAGTTTCTAAGTGAAAAATGCTGTTGTTCCAGCTTTTTTGCTGCTTGGAGATGTCATGGAGCATTTTCAACTAAGATCTTAAGGGACCAAGAGGAATGTTTTGGCCCCAGTCCCTTGTCAATTTGCCGTACCCCCTATGGCCATATGACTCCTGAAGGCCCCCAGACTTTAGAAGAATGAACCCATTTGGCAAAAGTTGCTATCAAAGCAGACAATCTTGGTTTTCCATAATAATATTGGAACACCTTGCTCAAGATGCCAGGGAAAGAAGTTTGAGAGAGATATGGAAGCCAGGTGTTCAGTGAAGTGGTATACTTTAAACAGGCGGCACCTCAGAGCCAGAGATGAGAAACTCAGCGTAATAGAGGGGGAAGGGAATTTAATCCTCCATAAATAAACACTAGGAAAAGAAAGCTATGCACCAGGAAAAGAAAAGAGGTAACTTGTAGTCACAGAGAATCCAGGGCAGGGTTGTTCCACTGAAAATAAAATGTTGAAGGAGGAAATATCTATTGTGAACTAGGAAAGTTTCACTACAATACATGTCTTTGTTATTGAGAGCAACCTGCAGAAAGTTTGCATTTATTGTCCTAAAGACACATGTGAATGGCAAGAGCTCTAATTAGTAAATGGAAATTCCTTGATGAGACTATGAATCGATGCTCAAGGTTCTAACAGTAGAAACTCATTTATATTATGTATATAGGGGTGAGTGGTAGATGTAGGTGAGGAGATATTAAAATGATCATTTTATTTCCACAAATGGCTACACTGAATATGAAATTTTTATGTTTTGCTTTGGGGGAAGGGAATTTAGAGGAGGGTTGGGGAGTACCCAAGAATGTCAGGCATATTATTAATTAGGAAGTTCCCTCATCTATATCTGTATTTTGTGTGTGTTAGCAGACAACATGCAAATGTCAGTGGTTCGATATCAATATATTGAACTCTTACTTTTTTGAAAGATAAAGGACTTTTGCCTATAAAAGAAAAAAATCACTTCTTGGGAGAATTTTACTTTTATGCCTAGCTACCTTATGTAAATGCCATCTCTCATTTAAAAAAGATGAAAAAAATGTCATCTTTCACAAAAGCAATGGAGGCCGTCGTGTTACCCACAAATATTAAGTGAAGTTGTTTCTCCCTTAAGCAGCTTATTGAAGATAAAATGAAAAACCAAACAAATGCCTCTTTAATAAACTTTATTATTTATTTTTTCAGTAATGTATAGTGTTGCATTGTGTTGTAATATTTTGTTATTCATATTCCCGGAAATTGGGAAGGATGAGTGATTTGTTTTTTTTTTTTTGCTTATGGTTTATGTTTTCCCCTTCTGTATATCTTTGTCTCAGCGTACTGATTTAATTAGTGACCAAGTTCATGACTGATATTATTATGTTTGCTTTTAATGATTTATATAATAGCTACCATGTGCAGAAGCAACCCCAGGACCCATATATCCAGAGACAAGACTGGATTGGGTGTGCAATGAATGGAAAATTGCAGAAACAGCTTGAACAGCATCATGATCTCTTTCTGTCTTCAAATATGACAAGGGTGGTGGTTTTTGTGGTGGCATCTGAAGGTCACTCAGAACCTCTCAATCAGGTTGAATCACTTTTCTCAATGCTGTTGTCATCTGCACCACAGCGTTTGGGTGTAGCTGTTTCTAGAGCCACTAAAGGAGGTTCTCTTCGAAATGGCATCACAGTATTTCATAATCCTGACTTGCATTATTTTGAGGCTGTCACCTCCAGAAGCAAAGTTTTCCAGGATGAGGGGTGTGTGCACATGTGATACAACTAGACATGTGATTTGTTATTTTTAATTCTCCTTATTGTTGAATGTCAGATACTTGGGAAAATATTTAGAGAATGGGGAGTAAGAAGTATTATCTTTAGATTTTGCCCCCACAAGATGCAACACAGAAATACAAAAAAAAAAAAAAAAGGAACAAAATAAAATTAAAAAAAAAACCTTCCTCATTAAAATGTTGAAAGGAATTCAAAATTAACTTTATGGAGAAGCTTTTAAAGATAAGGCGGGTTTGGTAGGAGGAGAGTTCTGTGGGCAGTTTTGATTGAAAAGAAAGCCTATAGGAACTGGTGAGAGATTCTGAGATGAAGAACAGATATTTGCTATTTAGGTTTCTTTAGTCAGTGTCATTGCATCTGAACAGTATATCCTTGTGCTGGTGCTCAAAGACTAAAAATGCAACCAATAAGCAAAGTGCCCTGTCCGGGAGCCTGGTTCTTACCTAAATGAAGTGTAAAAGTAAACACACAGTATAGATGCTGACAGGCAGTTTAGCTTCTGCATGGTTAATATTGCAGTGGCACAGAAAACATATTCATTTGAACATATAATTTTGGTTTTGAAAGGGTCTCTTTAACATTCTCCTCCTCCTCTTCATTCACCTCAAGCCTTTGACACTAGTTTCTACAATGGAAAATGGCTCTTTTAAGAGAGAAACAGTCCCAAAAGAAAACAAAGCAGGCCGTAGCCAGAGCTTGTCCATCACTTGGATAAAACATTGGGAAATGATAGGGCTTAGAGCTACATTTTCAAGGTACAAATTAAAAAGAGAATAGCCAAAAGAGAATTGAGCTGAGAGGAAGGAGTAGGTAGCCTATTCTTCAACTCTGATTTATTTGGCCAGTTTGAATGTAAATGGTTAAATCTCTGCTTAATGATTGTTTGGCCACGTTTCTAAGGACATTGATGTAGCTTGGTCGTTATGTCAAAGAATTTGAAACTTCCTGATAGTTAATAAAGCCATTTCCAGGGCTTTGGATAGCAAAAAGTATGTGCAAAAATTCTTCTACCAAACACTCACTCTTCATTTTTATCATTTACTTTACTTTCTATCATGAAATTGTATGATATTTTGCCCAGAAGCCTTTCTTAGGCTGTAGAAAAGAAAAAACAAAAAACAAACAAAAAACAAGGTTAGTAGTATATGCTCTATTTCCAGCTTCTGCTTGATGAATGGTCCTTTTTTTCCCCTCGCCCTGCATTTCACAGTCCACATGCTAAAGCAGCATTATCCTTTTCCCCATACAGTGAACATCATCAAGGAAATAAAATTCTTATATACGCTATACAGTTATATTCATGCTCATATTTATAAATGGTCTATGGCAACATTTGAACTTGGCTCAGAAATGTGCCCTGTTGTAAAAATGCAAATCCTTTATTTACTTCCTTTGTTGGTGTTGTGTTGATGCTGATTGCAAAAACATAAGAAAGGACAACTGTAATAGTGCAGATGAGAGAGATAAAAGTCAATGATGACAATATTACATTTTACCAATGTCCTTTCTGATCCTCGCAGAATAAAGGGACCCTTTGGGAACATCGGAACTTCAAGACCAATTAGTGGAAATGATGCTTCTTGTGTTTGGGCATTAAATACTGGGCAGGGTTCTCTTTAGAGCGGCTAATGCTGGCAGGGAAAGAGGTACCGACCTAATTACTCTTCCGCAAGAGTAAAAAATGCCTTTTGAATGCCTCTTTGGCAAATATGTCTCATTAAGGACAAAAACCAAACACAAACCCTCTAAGAAGGAGAAATTAAGATGATAGGTAACTTGTGGCCAGGAGACTTTCTGTGCCACTGTGGGAAATTAAAACAAGGTTTGGAAGTACCAGGGGATAACTTGTTTTTGTTGAGCTTCTTTCCTGCAGCCTAAATGTTATTATGGGACCAACTTTATTTTCTTCATCATCTTGGCTCTGTGTCAAGGAATGCTTTGCTCCTGGGGAAAGTAAAGAATCTTCCATCATTGAAGACAATAGTGATTCTGCCATTCTCTCTCAGTGGGGTATGTAACCCAGCAAAACAAGAAAGTCTCCATTTGAAACTCTGGTCTACTAAAAATTTAATTTTTATGGTGACCAAATGGGGAGATGAGAATGAACAGTAATATCTTTTTTAAAGATTTTTTTTAAAAAGAAACTTACATTTCTAAAAAAGATTTTTTTCTTTATTTTAGCTAAATTGTCCTCCATCAGGTTTTAGCAAAGATGAACAAATTTTATGATTAGCGTGTGAAGCTTATAAAAGCAGACTACTGGTCTACTCACATTTGGACTTATGG